GGTCTGCATGTGTCATTCCGGGAGACATTGCCTGTGCATGTCTCCCAGAATGAGACAATTTATTGCAATCAGAATACGATTGCAAAACTTTGACCGACAAGAGTGCATTGTGCACTCTTGTTGGTCTGCATGTGTCATTCCGGGAGACATTGCCTGTGCATGTCTCCCAGAATGAGACAATTTATTGCAATCAGAATACGATTGCAAAACTTTGACCGACAAGAGTGCATTGTGCACTCTTGTTGGTCTGCATGTGTCATTCCGGGAGACATTGCCTGTGCATGTCTCCCAGAATGAGACAATTTATTGCAATCAGAATACGATTGCAAAACTTTGACCGACAAGAGTGCATTGTGCACTCTTGTTGGTCTGCATGTGTCACTCCGGGAGACATTGCCTGTGCATGTCTCCCAGAATGGCATACTGTTCCGCATTCATAACTTGAATGCGGAACTTTGACCGACAAGAGTGCATTGTGCACTCTTGTTAGTCTGGAGGAGCGCCAACTCGGGAAAATCATTTCCACTGCCCGAGTTGGCACTTTTTTTCTGTTATAGATAGACCTATAATGCCTATGGTGAAATATCAGTACTACCCCTAGGCATTAACATATATCAAGATTGAATCCAACTTGATGTTGCATAAGATTGCATAATCTCATATTCTTACAATTTTTGGAATAATTATAGTATTCAATTGTATGTTTCCTATATATGAATATTTGATACTTATTTTAGTCAGATATCAAAAGTGGAAGATATTTTATATTATATAATTTGGTCAAGTTTGGAATTTGAATGTAATATTAAGGATATGAATTTGGTATACTATATACTATGTGCGCTGAAGCAGAATATAGAAATAGGATAGGATTTTGAGAATTTATTTAAAATTATTAAACCTAAAGTTCAGTGATATAATGAAAGATCACTTTATATACTAGTGTATATATGAGTGATAGTAGTAAAATGGCGTAATAATTTGTATATAAGAAAAATTTTATTTAATTTTCAAAACCAAAGGAGTAGAAGCATGTGTATGGTTTATCCATCTCATGCATATCGTAAGTTCGTATATTTTATATGTGCACTTCTGTATTTTGAGATTCGGCATATCTTATAAAACAAAAGTTTTATAAGATATGTATCGTAATGTAATTTATTGAGGGGAACTTTCGTATTTCAATAAAGAAAAGGTCTGCTTTCCATATCTTTTGAATGGAAGTTTCAAAAAGTTTTGAGACTCCCACTCAAAAGATAAGGAAAACAGACCTTTCCTTGAAGGTCTTTCGTAGAATGAAAGATAATATACTTTTGTGTGATCGTATTTGTAAATTTGCGATTTACATTGTTTAAAACTTGTTTTTTCAGGTAACGTCAAAATTCATCGACGTTACCTGAAAAAACAAGTTTTAAACAATGTAAATATCGAATGGCAGCCACATATAAATATGTGGCTGCCATTATTTTGAATTTTAGCGCATTTCTGAGGATGTTGAAATGTGGCCGCCTATCTAATAGAGATAGGCGGCCACTGTAATATAATTTTATGTTTAACGGCCCTATTTGAGTTTGTTCATAAACTCAAATAGGGCCGGGAGTGGGTTGATGATGAGATAGGAAGACCCACTCCATTTTATGTTTAAAAAAGTGACAAATATAAGTAAAAAAATTATATAAATGATATTTGACTCCAGATTACCAAAAAGCCGAGAAGGGGGCCCTGACCTTGAGAAAGGACCCCCTTCCCGGTCTTTCGGGCGAACTTTGTTTCGAATTGCGAGTGTCTGCTGCTTCCTTTGACTGAAGCAGCAGACACTTGCAATTATAGGTCACGGCAAGTGCATCTGTGATGCCAGAATGCACTTGCCGTGACTTTTCATGAATCTCCTGATCTTCGTGAAAGGAATGACAGTATTTACAAAAACCACTTCATTCAATACCAGAAAGACAAGAAGGAAGTTCTTACTTTGAGAAAGAGCTTCCTTCCTGTCTTTCTGGTTTGCATGAGATCTAGGAGAGTTGAGAATGGGTATTTTCCAGGCTCTGACCTAACCATAGGTCAGAGCTTCGTATTTCCTATTTCCCAGGGCCGGATTTCGTTCCTGCCGCCCGGGATAAGGGCGGCATTTGGGAAAACCGGCCCTGGGGAATGTAAGCGAAGCCCTGGCCTGTGCTTGGGCCAGAGCCTGTATATTTCTTTCTTTCAGGGCCGAGTTCTTGCGAGACCGTCGACATGATCGACGATCATCGCAAAACTCGGCCCTGAGGACTGTTCTTGCAGGCTCTGGCCTTTGCTTGGGCCAGAGCTTCGTATTTCCTATTTCCCAGGGCCGGATTTCGTTCCTGCCGCCCGGGATAAGGGCGGCATTTGGGAAAACCGGCCCTGGGGAATGTAAGCGAAGCCCTGGCCTGTGCTTGGGCCAGAGCCTGTATATTTCTTTCTTTCAGGGCCGAGTTCTTGCGAGACCGTCGACATGATCGACGATCATCGCAAAACTCGGCCCTGAGGACTGTTCTTGCAGGCTCTGGCCTTTGCTTGGGCCAGAGCTTCGTATTTCCTATTTCCCAGGGCCGGATTTCGTTCCTGCCGCCCGGGATAAGGGCGGCATTTGGGAAAACCGGCCCTGGGGAATGTAAGCGAAGCTCTGGCCTGTGCTTGGGCCAGAGCCTGTATATTTCTTTCTTGCAGGGCCGAGATGAGAGGAGATTGTCGATGATGTGGACGATCTCCCTCAAAATCGGCCCTGCGAATTGTATTTACAAGCTCTGGCCTCGGGAAAGGCCAGAGCTTCGAATGGACGTTCTCTCGGGACTGGATTCCTCTCCGGCCGCCCCGAATCAGGGCGGTCTTTGAGGAAACCGGCCCCGAGGATTGTTTGCGAAGCTCTGGCATTTCCTGAGGCCAGAGCTTATGGATTTCATTCAGAGCCAAGTTCCTCTCGGATCGTGCCTAATGAGGACGACCGTCGAGGAACTTGGCTCTGAGGAGATGAATTGTGAACTCTGGCCTCGATTAAGGCCAGAGTTTTTAAGGGAATGTTTTGATGGGATGAGCCTATACTCAGTAAGCTCGTCCCATCAAAACATTCGTTTAAAAATTGAATTAAAAATTATCGTATGTATTCAAAAATTAAAAAATAAAAATGAATAATTTGATTATATAATGATAATAGAATAAATTATCATAAAATTAAATAAAAATATTCAAAAAAAATCAAATTTGTGAAAATAGATTGAAAAAATACAATTTTACTATGAAAAAGATGGAATATAAAAAATCTTTATATATAATTAACGATGAATTATAAGAGTAAAGCAGAGAAGGTTATTATTTTGAGATTTTTAGAAAGAATATGAGAGTAGTATATGTTGACGGGTTGTGTGACTTTTTTTGTAAACGTAAAAATTCATACAATATTGAACGATTTTGTATCATTTTTTTTAACATATGAAGTAAAAAATGTATGATTCTTACGGTTTTTATTCTTACGTTTTTGAATAAATCAAGATTTAAAAAATTGACTTCTTACGTAAAATTAAAACTAAGTTAAATTTATTTTTTTTTATTTTTATTTTATAATAAATGAGTATAACAACTAATTCATTGAAATCTTTAAAGTTCACTAATTCAGAATTAGAAAATATTTTAGAAAATTTTGGAGACGGTTCTTATCCAACATATATGCAGAATGTGAAAGAGTTTTCCAGATTGTTGAATGAATTTAATAGAATAAATAAATTGGTTGGAAGAGATGAATTTAATAAAGATGAATTTTTAAACTCTATCCAAATTTAATTTTTATTCCTCTTCGACAACATCTCTCTTTCCATCATTACTGCATAACCACATTTTCTCAATTTTAGTGGTTTGTTATTTTTAACATGTTCTTGCATCATTTTTATCATTTCCTCCCTTGTTATGATTCGTGGTAAATTTTGAGCTTGTGGGGTATCCATTTATGATAAAAATAAAAATTTAAATTATGCCGTTCTAAAGTTTGTGACAACATGACATTTTGACAACAGCACATGAGGAAGGTAGTTATGACTTATTTTTGAAGAACTGAAGGTGTCACCAGGTCACCAGGTAATTTAACTCATGACATTTTGACAACGCAGGAGGAAGGTAGTTATGACTTATTTTTGAAGAACTGAAGGGGTCACCAGGTCACCAGGTCACCAGGTTATTTAACTTCTCTGAAAAAATGAGACAACATGACATTTTGACAACATCATGGGTTATTCGATAATTAATTATTTTTGAAGAACTGAAGGGGTCACCAGGTCACCAGGTCACCAGGTTATTTAACTTCTCTGAAAAAATGAGACAACATGACATTTTGACAACATCATGGGTTATTCGATAATTAATTATTTTTGAAGAACTGAAGGGGTCACCAGGTCACCAGGTCACCAGGTTATTTAACTTCTCTGAAAAAATGAGACAACATGACATTTTGACAACATCATGGGTTATTCGATAATTAATTATTTTTGAAGAACTGAAGGGGTCACCAGGTCACCAGGTCACCAGGTTATTTAACTTCTCTGAAAAAATGAGACAACATGACATTTTGACAACATCATGGGTTATTCGATAATTAATTATTTTTGAAGAACTGAAGGGGTCACCAGGTCACCAGGTCACCAGGTTATTTAACTTCTCTGAAAAAATGAGACAACATGACATTTTGACAACATCACAGGAGGAAGGCAAAAATAAATTCCAGTCATACTTTATAAAGCTTCATTCACAGGTATTTCATCGTCAGTAAATGATTCCTCATTATCGTTTGGTTCAATTTGTTTATATAATCCTTTCATTTCTTCTTTCAAAACATAATACCATGTTTGTTTACCATCTATTTTTCTTTGTTTCCTTTCACATTTATCCTTAATGCTCATTTGGAAATTCTTGTCTTTCATGTCTGATGGTTTGCAGAATAGAGCATTTTTACACGTCATACCTGCACATAATTCATCATAATGTGTATTTATCCATTCATCTAAAGGATTTGTTGATAATTCAATTAAATCTTGTTTGGCTTCAGTCATCGGTATGATTCGTACATTAAATGATGAAAGGTCATATTGCATAAAATATGTTAAAAGGTTATCATAAAATTCCTTAGTGCATGAATCCATTAAATTCTTGAAGTAATCAAATTGACCCTTGAATTTACCATTAACTCTTAAAACTACGTATCTTCTGTCTCCAACTTCAATTTTGACAGGGTAGACGTTGTTAGTTACGAAAATGAAGTTTGCAACGTTCTGAGCTGTTCTTCTGGGTTGATTCTTTTCATTAATTCTAATCTCATTATCCGTAATAATTGATTTCAAAGCGTTGAAGTTTGCGAGTCTGTCTTCACCTACATTCTTGAGTTCATTAAGTACAAGAAACATTTTATTCTCAACTACTGAGTTGAAATTACCCGTTAGCTCACCTATTTCGGTAATGTTTTTACATGAATAACCAGCGAGGAGTTCAGAAATAATGTCTGTAAATCTGTTTTTACCTGTTCCCTGAAGTCCTTTCAAAATAATTGCTGTTTCATTCTTGATTCCAGGATGTTGAATCATTGATGCAATCCAGCCGAGAAGGTATTTATACACTTCATCGTTATTATCACAAATGGCTTCTTTAATGAAATCCATAAACATCTCAATTTTTGAGTAATCAGGCTTTTCAAGAATGTTGTATTTATAACCCTGAAACGTTGAGAAAACATCTGGGGAATCAGATTTAAAGCAAACACCCTTAACGGTTAATGAGGATAATTGATTTAGTAGTACATCCCATGCTGTTATGGTTTTACCTTCTTCTTTAAATAATTTAATCATTTTGAGTGACTCTTTCATGTTTGATTGAAGAACGAATGATATTTGATTCATTTTGTCGTGGATATTATAGTCCTTTTGAATGAAATATTTATTTCCACAATCTACAAAACGGATTACACGTGATAAATCCTCAATTACTTCAGAACTGTTTTTATACTGATGATTTTCAGCCTTGCGTCTAATATCTGTTATCAAAAACGAGTCATCAAGTTTTATATCAAATGTTATTTTTGGCTTACGTAATAAAGGTAAAACATATTCATCATAATATTCCTTTTGATAAAGTTTTAGAATCTTCACCAAAACAAATGGAGAAGTCATTAAATGTGCATATCTACTACGTGCTTTTTCAAAATTACTTTTTGCATTTTCAGTTAAGCTGCAGAAGTTATATACGTTATCGTATGCTTCATTAATTAAATGATTAGGTAACAAATTAATTGCTTGAAACAGTGTGAATAATGTAACTTCTTTTTCTAAATTCATGTTTCCACCATCATTATGTACTTCAAAATCACAGATGCCATCGACTATGCTCTGGGCAAGTTTATCGTCAATGTTTACATCTTTGTTTTCATTCATGATAGTCTTTATTTCTTCGTTCTTCTGTTCAACTCTTACCTTAATATTCAAATCATTTAATATATCGTTTACTGTTCTGGTTAATGTTGAATCATAACTTCCACGAATGAATGAGTATGTATTGATTGGTTCTGATGCATTCTTGCGAACTCTTGAATCAGCCATAACCACTAAAGAACGCTTTGAATCATCAATAGAAGTCATGATATCAATATCATAATCATTGCAGGAATAACATTTAATCATTCTGTTCGAGGTTGAATAGAAGAAATTAGTGTTGCAATAAATGTGAAGACCTCCTGATGCAGTTTTAACGATAACATCTTTATCCGAAAGTTTTGATAAAATGTCTTTTCTAACTGTTTCTTTAAGTTCATCATTGTATGATTTATTGATATCAACATCTATAATCGTTAAATTTGAAATTTTATTTACTAATAAAGCTGTACCAGTTTTCCTTCCTCTTCCTCCATCATGTTTGAGGTAGTTATGTAAATCAATCTTGTTTTCACCAATTCTTTCGTTGAGGGCTTTAGTTTCTGCCACAACTAATTCCTCAGCTAATGAATCAATAACTTGTTCATCAGAAATGATATAGTTGCTGTTGCTGTTGTTTGTTGCTGTCATTTATATAGGAATAAAAAAATAAAAATAATTTTAAAACTAACTTTATTTTTGGACTACATCAAATTTTCGTAAATGTTGTCAAAATGTCATGTTGTCTCATTTTTTCAGAGAAGTTAAATAACCTGGTGACCTGGTGACCTGGTGACCCCTTCAGTTCTTCAAAAATAATTAATTATTGAATAACCTGAAACCATTAACGTAAACATTAACGTAAACATATATTTCCAGGACTGTTGTCAAAATGTCATGTTGTCTCATTTTTTCAGAGAAGTTAAATAACCTGGTGACCTGGTGACCTGGTGACCCCTTCAGTTCTTCAAAAATAATTAATTATTGAATAACCTGAAACCATTAACGTAAACATTAACGTAAACATATATTTCCAGGACTGTTGTCAAAATGTCATGTTGTCTCATTTTTTCAGAGAAGTTAAATAACCTGGTGACCTGGTGACCTGGTGACCCCTTCAGTTCTTCAAAAATAATTAATTATTGAATAACCTGAAACCATTAACGTAAACATTAACGTAAACATATATTTCCAGGACTGTTGTCAAAATGTCATGTTGTCTCATTTTTTCAGAGAAGTTAAATAACCTGGTGACCTGGTGACCTGGTGACCCCTTCAGTTCTTCAAAAATAATTAATTATTGAATAACCTGAAACCATTAACGTAAACATTAACGTAAACATATATTTCCAGGACTGTTGTCAAAATGTCATGTTGTCTCATTTTTTCAGAGAAGTTAAATAACCTGGTGACCTGGTGACCTGGTGACCCCTTCAGTTCTTCAAAAATAATTAATTATTGAATAACCTGAAACCATTAACGTAAACATTAACGTAAACATATATTTCCAGGACTGTTGTCAAAATGTCATGTTGTCTCATTTTTTCAGAGAAGTTAAATAACCTGGTGACCTGGTGACCCCTTCAGTTCTTCAAAAATAATTAATTATTGAATAACCTGAAACCATTAACGTAAACATTAACGTAAACATATATTTCCAGGACTGTTGTCAAAATGTCATGTTGTCTCATTTTTTCAGAGAAGTTAAATAACCTGGTGACCTGGTGACCTGGTGACCCCTTCAGTTCTTCAAAAATAATTAATTATTGAATAACCTGAAACCATTAACGTAAACATTAACGTAAACATATATTTCCAGGACTGTTGTCAAAATGTCATGTTGTCTCATTTTTTCAGAGAAGTTAAATAACCTGGTGACCTGGTGACCCCTTCAGTTCTTCAAAAATAATTAATTATTGAATAACCTGAAACCATTAACGTAAACATTAACGTAAACATATATTTCTGCAGTTCATCCATTACTTCATTACCTAATTAATTACAGACATAAAATATATTTAGTTCATTCAATAAATGCGGTACCATGCGAATACAGTCATAAATGGTGGCATATAATCTTCACCCAAGCCTGTTGGATTTGTTGTGAAAGTATGTGAATGATTTCCTCCTGGTTCAGTTGGTCGAAAAGTCTTTTTTGCCGAATGGTTATAATCTGGAGATAAAACGTCATTGCCAGCATAATATTCTGAGTTGTATAATGGATGGTCTCTTAATGAGTGACTATGGTCACCAGAAAAGTTTGTCGTTCCTGTATGAGTGTGCGGTGGAAGGTTTGCTTCAGTAATTTTCTTCGAACCTCCTGTTTCCTTTGAAGAGTTTGCACAATACAAAAACCTGTCAACTATTTGTTCCCATGCACCAACACCAAACATTACTTGAGGACCTCTTGCATCCATAGATGTATAAATAGAACCCACTGGGTTCATTAAATCAAACATATGAGATATTATAGGATTGTCTCTTTTGAACTTAAGATATAGTGTAACTATTTCAGGTTTCTTCTGGTTTGTGTCAGAATATTTTTTATAATATAATCTTATGTTTTCAGGGTAGGTAAAATCTTGACTATAATATTTATTTCTGTCATCTGTATAATAATATACTATTCTCGTTTTTTCTATTGCATTATATCTTTTATATCTATAATAATCTAAATATAATGTTAACTTTTGTTCATCTATATGTGGTGTTCTGACATCATCTCCATAGTCATAATAATATGGTGCTGGAGCTGGGTCAGGCAATGTCATATCTGCCATTTCATAAACTCTTAAATATTTCTTTTGTTCGTCTCCATATAAGTTTAAGTAACAGTTGTTGTCTAATGGAACTTTAACTTGTGTGTCATCATTCTTTTTATAACTTACATACATTTCATTGTTATTTTTCGGAATGAGTTTCCACCGTATACCATTTTTTAAGGAGTGTACAAACTGCCATCTAAAATATTTATTTTCTTCATTGACAGAAAAGTCACCAACAATAGTTTCAATATTTTTTGTTCCTATCAAACTTTGGTATATTTCGTTAACATATGTTTTATCTACCTTCTTCATTAACTCATCGTTAACATATTCCTTATCTACCTTCTTCTCTAACTCATCGTTAACATATGTTTTATCCGCTTTAAGGTCTAAACATCCTGAAACCCATCCTGTATCAGCTTTAGTTTTTAAAATCTTTGATGTCCATTCATGATACCATTCAACCATTTCTTTAATTTCATTATCTTTTTCATCCACATATTCCTTATCTGCCTTCTTATTTAACACACTATCCACATATTCCTTATCTGCCTTCTTCTCTAACTCACTATCCACATATTCCTTATCTGCCTTCTTCATTATGTCATTTAGGAAACCTTTTATGAATTCCTCATTTAAATTAAATCTTCCAATCTTCAAAACTTTAGGAAATGCATTTAATGCGTAATATCTTTGTTCTTCTGGTGGAATTGATGTTATATCATCCGTTATACCTTTAATTTTTGAATTCATAAATAAAATTTCTTTTATATTTGATATCACTGCACCACCCTTGCAAACGAATTCGAAATGGTCATTTTTCAATACTATCTCCAAATCTCCATATTTCAACCTTTGCGTTTGTTCTGCCGTCTTTGAATTATATGCATATATGGCGTATGTAATGGTTTGAAGGACCTGGGTGCTTTGTGTCTTAAGTTGCTGTGGTTGCTGTTGTTTAATCATTTATTATGATTAAAAAATAAATATTTAATCTGTTATCTCATCACCTATTTTTTCTATTTGAAATTGCCATAATATTTCATTCATGAATTCTAAATCACAATCAAATAGGTCGGTTATTCTAAATTTAATATTTGATAAATCTTTTGAATGAAGAATAAATGAATTCCCGGATAATTGAAACGGATATGATAAAGAAAATATGTTTAAGTTGATGGATAAAATGTTTTGTATTGATGGGTAAGAGTTAGGGTCTAATGTTTGATGTGAAAATCTCATTGGGGTATTAACTTTATCACATTTGATTAAAATGAAATTGGAACCAGTGTCAGAATACAAAACATCCCCAACATCTTTTTCAAAATTTAATATCCCCAACAATGAACGAAGATGAGGAGTACAAAATTTAATTTTCAGCGGAAATTTAATAAGGTTATTTATTTCATCAAGTTCAAAAAGTTTATCAGGTTTTGATTTAAAATTTTCTTCATACCATACGATAAATGATTCATTTAAATAACTTAAAATCATGTTAATATCCCATTTCGCTATCACATTATTTATATACATATCATACGTTTTTTCATGGTCATCTTTAATAAATGATATATAATCTGAAGGGTCTAAAAGAATGGGATTAAATTTACCACTCACAGAAACGAGAGTAACATTATAAATTCCGCTAACTGTTAAATTTAATTCACAGTTATTATTCGAAATAATATTGATAATTGACATTTTTTTATTACGATTAAAAATATGGTAAAGCGTTATTTTCCAGTGATAAATAAAACTAGGATAAGATTACCTCAAGAATTCATAAATTCAACGAATAAGAAATTCATTCATGTTATAAATTTTAGTGTTTTCAGAAAATATGAGTCAATGTCATATTCATCAACAGGTTATATTTCACTTCATTCAAATTTAGTTCAATCAAACCCATATAATGACCATTTCATAAGATTTTCAGATGGTATTAAAAATGTAATTGATAGATTAAAATATGAACAGGTTGACAATATCGAATTTTTGGAATTTTGGTTTAAATATCCTGATGGAAAAAAGATTGAAGTTAAAGATAAAGCTGATACTATAACAAAAACAATTACAATGACCGATCCAGATAGTGGGGAACAAAAAGAAATAAAACAAACGATAGAAACCGGTGAAAGGTCAATTATTATTGATTATGATTCAAAGGATTATTATTCGATAATGTTAATGCTTGGATATTAAATAGCCTTAACAAAGAATTTTTCAAGTGATATTTTATATTCATCAACTATTTTATTATAAATATCATTATAAGTTAAATGTAGTTCAGTTGTTGTTCCGTTCTTTGATATCTTAATTGTGCTAATATCCTTTATAGGATTTATTTTTGCAACTGTTCCGCAGCATGAAACTTCATCATCTATGAAAAATTGAATCTTAACGTCTGAATCTTGAACATCACAAAGAATGGCGATAATGTGAATTAATGATTCATAAGGTAAAATAATTAAACCGGATTGGTCAATTAAATTTATTATTGAATCATAATTATCAGTTATTATATCACGGTAAATTTTCATTAATTCAGAATTAATGTCTATTTTATATGGCGCATTGCGACTGGAATCGTAGATTCCTGGGTTCTCGATGTTTGATGAAAGAGGCGGGGGGTATGTTGGATAAGTGGGAATTTCAACAGGTTCTTTACCGGGTTCATCTTCTTTATTTTGCCCCTCCTCCTTTTTCGGTAAGTCACGAGTTAATAAATTTGGTTGAGTTGCTGACCTTGTTAATTCAGGACTAACATTAACTTTAACATTTTGAATAATTCGTGATTTATCATCATTTACGTTATAACCAACCGTAATCTCTGCTTTTGCGTTAGTGTTCTTTTGACTAGTGAAACGTCTTCTCATTTATAATCGA